AGACTCTGGTGTGTGGTATAAATTGCTGTAACTTTGATTAAATATATACTTAGCCCTAAAGGAACCAGGTCGTTGGCTGTGAACAGAAATGTAAATGGGAGGCCTGTGCAGTAGATTGTAGGACTTTTTTTCTGTACTGTACACCTTAAAACTGTAAACATACTGTAATAATACTGTTTCACACTGAGATAATGCTGGCTTGGCAGCAAAAAAACTGTAGTTTTTAAAAATGATTTTAGTTCATGTTGAGAGAGGAAAAAATGGCTTTCCCCCCAAAGTAACGTGAACCTACAACACCCCGACCTCTTCTTTGTCCCTCGATTGTATGACTTGACCCTTAAAGAAATCACCTCTTAGGACTGGTCTTGAGCTCTAGATGCAGTCCAGGCTGCAGTGTATATAATGATGTTGTAAATTACACTTTGCTCTTTTTCTTTCTCTCTCATCTTATGGCGCTCTTCACCGTTTTTAATCTTTGACGAATTAAAGGTTTCACTCAACAGATCTCTCATTGCGCATTGCCATGTGTTTATTTACCACCTTCCTCTCCTTACATCTTTGGTTGTAGGGATGCAATCTTTTGCCCTTGCGATCCCATACACATAACATTTCAATTCCTTTTGTTTAAGCTGTAGAGGCATATATCAAACCAGACAAGTCCATTAACTCCAACCGATTTCATCATCATTCACCGGAACAAAGATACAATACACAAGTTTGTTTTCCCCTCTTTCCCAGCGGTTTCCTTAGTCGATTCCAGTGCTATGGATTCATATTTGTATTTCAGATGATGTAGCTAAAATCTTGTTGTAAATTCCTTTTCCCCCCTTTTGGCTTAATGAATATCATTTATTCCGTATGAAATCTTTATACTATATGTTCCACGTGTTAAGAATAAATGTACATTAAATCTTGGTAAAACGTTTGTGATTGATTTATTTATATAAATGATCAGTTTTGCAGTTTATGAATTTATACACGTTAAGATGTATGGACTGCATTTGCTGCATTTTTGATAACCACATATATTTTTACTCGGTAAAAAAAAAAGTGACACAATTGTGGTTGGAACCAAGTAAGGCAGTTATAATGGAAGTAAACGGTAATGCTCAGATGCTAGTGTTTGGCAAGTGTAGCACAAGTCTTAAATGTTATACATGTTCAATTGTTACAATCCTACAAACTATGTGCAAAGTTGCTGTCCAGTAATTCCACATCATGACACTGTCAAAACATTAATTTTCAAATTCACAAGGTTACCTTAAAGGTCAAAATCCTAATATGTATTACATAGGTGACAGTGACACAACTAAAGTTTGTTCACCTAGATTAGAACCTTAGTGCCATTACAAAAATGATATGGACAACTTCACAGCCTAATAACTCCTATTCAGGTAAGTGCTTAAATAAGTCTCACATTTTTGCTGGTAAACTTCCAAAGTGAATGTCCTGTTTAATTCCATTGCAAATGTATTCTGTAACCTGTAAAAATGTTTTTCTGTTGTAATCAGTTATCCTCAAGTGCTGTTGATAAGAGTATGAATTATACACTTAACAACATCTGATTTGGCATCTATATGCATTAGTCTTTAGCTGTCTGGTGGAGGCCTGACTCTACAGAAGTGTTTCTGTACTGTTGTATAGAAGATTCTATTAACTGCATATTGCAAGTCACATTTTTTTTCACAGGATTAATGGTGTCCAACCCAAAGAAAACACACAGGCTGTTTGAAATGGAATAATTGGATATTGTAAAAATACAGGCTTCTTTAGGCTGCCAACATTATTTTAAGTAGAATATGAAATGCATGCATTTTTCAAAGAGAAGTTTAGTATAGTTAGGTTTTGCATTTTAATCAAATTTTGTGTAAAAACAAATACATTAACATCAGACAATCCAATCAGATAATGAATTAAAGAGATTTTAAAGTTGCAGCTGTACATTTCCTTCATTACGCTGGAAAGTGAAGTCCAGCGCATTGCAATGCGTAGTTATGCATATACGGTACACAAAAAGTGCGTCCCGCTCATGCAATCCCCGATGTAGCCCCGTTTTTATGAGTAACGAGCACTTTAAAAGCAATATATTTTATCTATCTCGCATAGCATAGCCTACAATCAAAAGGACTGAAATAACGATAAAATAGATGCATAAATCAGTTTTGATTTTGTTTCAGAAGTTGTATTCTATACGGTTTTTTTTTTTTTTTACTTTTTTTTTTTTTTTGCTAAACATACAGAGATTTTATGATATACCTATTTTTTGCCTCATGCTAGCAATGAACACGTGGTTACATATCTCCTTAGAAATATCAGAGCACGCAATGTTAATCCCACGGCTCCATCTAGCGGTTACAAGCAGATAACTAGGCTACTTCACAAATACTTTTTTTAAACCAATAGTATACTTACTTATTACTTAGAAATAGATTAAATGCCGGGCAGGGATGAGTGCAATGGATGCTGTTTCTAAAGATTGGAGCGATCTTTTTACACACTGCCGAAAGATACAGAAAAGCAAACGGATCTCTGCAATTCGCAGAAACAGCTGGAATCCAGACAGCGAAACGTGGATTTTGGGGTAAAATTATACCCGTAGTTCTTTAACATGTTGGGATGGGCGATTTAACCCGCGTTAAAATGTAGACACATAGTCGATTTCTGAACACGTGCCAAGATCCATGGGACACTGGTTCTTTTGTAAGTTGTAAGGTACAGTGTCGAGGCCAACTTCCTTTAATTTAAGGAGATTTACTCCTGTTTTCGCTGTTTCCCCTATGAAATCCAGTCATGCAGAAGGATGCTCTGCCACTGTCTGGCTGAAGCCTTGTTTATACTCGACGTGTCCGCACGAGCGCGAGTCTCCGCTGACTGCGCGCGGACCTCTCCAAACGGACGAGGCGTTTATACTTGACGCGCTCGCCGTTGTGCTATTCTGTGAAACGACAGGGGGCGACTCGGAGTAATTCTCCTCTAAACCACCAGGAATCAGCAGTGAAGAAGTAGTTTGCCATTTATTAGTAGTTTATTAATTTCTGATTCATATAAAAAGAGTAATAAATGCAGTAGGTTTATTGCACTTTCACTGCATGTAAACTAGTAAACAACTGAAGCCTTATTGAAGAGTGTTTAAACCTTAATTTCATCAGCAGGGCTTACTTCTGCTATTGTAGGCTTATTTTGTAAATGTAAGCAGTTACTTTATACAAGTGCAAACTGGGTGCTAATGTAAATGTATTCCTATTCACAAAATGAGAGGCTTTTATGGTCGCCCATCAATGCAAATGTCTCTGTGTATAGAAGGATCATAAACATGGTGGTACAGACATACCAGTTCGGCCAGATTCGGCTCGAAGTCGTTCATCTTCGGATGCGGCGCCGCGCGCGATGTTACAAAAAGTGCCGTGCACACCGCCAGACGAAATGGGTCTTGCGCACCCAACGCGCACGACCGCCCACACCGCAATGACGTCATTTTTGCCGCGCGCACTTCGCGCTCTTGCGGACGCGTCGAGTATAAACAAGGCTTGAAGGGGTGTTCTGGCGGGGAAATGACGTCAATGCTCTATTTACCCTTGTCACGCAGTAGCTGTTACTTTTCTCAGCGCTGGTGAACGTGGGCTAATTTACAACACTGTCAAAAATGTTTTCATGATTTGTTATCACAACTTTTTTTTTTTTTGTCAAATCAACTTAGATAATTTATGTGGTTCACATAATATTTTGAGTTTCTGTTGATTAAACCAATCTCCATTGTGTATTAACTCAAATGTTTATTTTCAATGAACTCAAAATCAAGGTAAACAGGTTACTTACTATTTCAAGTTAAACCAATTATTATTATTTTTTTTTACAGTGTATAGTTGTGATTACTGGATGAGGGTATTTTTTTTCTTTCGTTCTTTTTTTTTTTTTTTTTAAAGCATAGGCCTACATCATGTCATAGAATTTCCTATTAGCATTCAGGACAGGTGTAAATTCTTATCTTATAGTCTTTTTCTTATAGAAGTGCACGAATGTCTCCAGCGTGACAAAACGTGTCTGTTGGTTTGAATGCCATAGACTCATCTGTCTAACCATTGACCGATCGCCAAGCGCCCTCTAGTCTAGAGAAAAAGCAATTTTCAGTCTCATCATTATTAGCAAACATTTTCGCTCAATCCAAAGCATGTTTAAAAAAAAACTTTATTATTTTATTATGTATCTGTTCAATAAAAATATCACTTGGATTTAATATTTGATTATTACATCATCAGTTTAATGTTTATTTCCTAGAAAAGTGCCATGGAATTGTCATGCCGTTGCATAATCATGTGGCAACTTTTGGAATCGAACCATGTATTATTGTTGTTCTGCAAATTCTTTTTTCATTGTATTCTTCATGTTTATATGATGTTGTATATACTTTTTGTTCAAAGGGTAAAATGAAGAATTAAAAGAGGTTGCAGACATTTAAATGCAATTCTTTGTTCTTTTGCTTGTGATATTCTCTATTTTTATTACTGAGAGAAAAAAAAAAGTATTCTTATAACTCAAGAACTCAGAGAACTATTCAAACAATATTTATTTTACACGATACAGGTAAACATTATTAAAGAAAATTTTGATAGATAGATATAGATATTGGATGTCACTGAAGTTGGACCTGTATTATCAATGCTTTCATCGCCACAACAACGTGTTCTTGCAGAATTACACGCTAAATACCATCACCTACACGAAGAGCTTTTAAAATATAAACGCCATCAATGTATAATACACGAAGAGCTTTCAAAACATAAACACCAACGTATAATACTCAAAGAGCTTTCAAACGATTATGCCAGGAGCATCTACGCAGCCTGCTGTGTGAAGAGCATCTGAGGACTAGCGTCACATCCTGCGTGTCATCCACATCATCTGTGCGGCGGGATAAATCTGTGCAGCAGATCATATATTATTGTGCTCTAAATGTAAATACCGACCCTCATTCGGCGTCCATCATTTACATGAGAATGAAAGCGGAACCGGAGCGGAAGGTGAAGCGTGCGTTTGCGTTAAAAACAAACTACTGAAGCCGCTGGTTTTTAATCGAACCATGTAGCGAGGACGCGTTTGTGACGTCGCCGCTGCATATCGCATTACGTCACATGCTGGTAAATCCGTCGCGCGTTTCGCGATCTGTTTGCCAATAAAGCGGGACGCGGTCGGCGTGTGCGCGTGCCGTGTTTGTGTAATGACACTATTAAGCGACATCTATCCGCTCGTATCGCGCAGCAGCTGATGTTTGATGGATACTGAGCGCGATTTCACCGCCGTAAATGATGAAAACCCGCGAATATCAACAAATAGATCCTCAGGCACTCGCGACACCGACCCCGACGCCTCCACCGCGACCTCTTCCCGAGCACAAGCCCAAACGAGCCCGGAGAAAATGGGAGGTGTTTCCCGGGAAGAACCGCTTCTACTGTGACGGTCGCATCATCGTGGCGCGTCAGAGCGGCGTCTTGCCGCTCACACTGGGACTCATCCTGCTCACCAGCGGACTCTTCTTCGTCTTCGAGTGAGTCTGATGCCTTTGGCTGCTAGACCGCATGGTCACTGAGCTGGCTTGTTGATAGGACATCTAAGCAAGTAGTGCTGTGTTGTATTGTATTAAAGTAGGAAGAACACAGCAATATAGGCCTAGAGGAGATCGGGGTGAAGATGTCACAAGTGCATCTCAACGCGGCCAGGGTTTGGAGAGAAAAGTCCGATTACATCAATATCTGTTTTTACTCTTCCAGTGGTTTTATGTTGGTCTCAAACACCTGCGTCAAAGCAGTCTTAAATTAGGATGTTTTATTGTGAAATAAAGCTACGCTGACATATTAAAATTATAGATCACTCTTAAAAAATGAGAATCTCATGTCGTTCATGGAACATAAGACTTTTTAAAAAAAAAATGGTAGTCATTGGTAACATTAAAAAATGAATAATGAGTGTTCATAAGACAGAAGTATTTTTGAACAGAATTTTGATACTTTTGTACAGAAGTATCATAAATGTCCGATTGGGCCGAATTGCCACGTTTTATCAGCATTTAATTAAAAAAAAAGTCATTAGTGTTAATAAACAGTAGCTAGGTTTCCAATGTGACAACTTGCCCCATTCATGTGACAATGTGCCCTTCTATAGAATCAGCATTGGACTGAATCTGATATTGTTTTTTAGTCAATATATTTTATTTTTAAGCGCCTGTTTACCTCTATGCAGTTATTGCAGTACCTCATTTATTATAACTAAATGATTATTAGACTACAACAATAAAATATAATTGGCATTATGCATGTTTTTAAAATTATTATCAGGAACCATTTTTAGAATGTCATTATTGTATACAAACTGTGGCAATGTGCCCTGTTAAAGAGCCTGCATTGGAAATCATCCAATGTTTTTGTTTTTTTATCTGTACATATTGTTTTAAATTCTCTGTTTATAAATTAGTTTTATTCATAATAATCACTAGATCATTAAACTACAGCAATACAAAATAATGGCCACTATGCATATTTTAAGAACTGTTAATAACAATAATTTTGAATAATACAAGCTTGTGTTGTGATGTAAATGGTTACAGATATATTGTTTAACTTCATTTACATCTCAATTATGAATGTCTGTTATTAAAATAAGTTTATTTAACCTGTGAATTCTTCTGTTGCAGTTCAGAGACCCACTTAATAGTGCCATTTCAATAGACTTGATATTAGTCCTGATAATATTTTGCAAAGTGTGCATATGGCAAATATCAACTGGTCAAACATGTCTCTTTTCCAGGGCAATAATATTGGAAATTTTCAATAGCTTAATTTGTAGGCAAGACGATTGCTTCAAACTGAAAATAAACCTGCCTCTCTATTCTGATTTATGCAATAATAGAAAATGTTCTATGAATCTGCATGTGAAATGTACCGTCTCTCTCTCTCGACAATATTTGTACTGAGGCCACTTTTAGGGACTTAATTAATGATGTATGGTTACTTAAAAGTGGCTCATTTAATTTTAGTGTTAATCATACCCCTAATTTTAAAGCAATCCCTTGTGGATACAGCACATTATGTGGAGATTCAGTTTGATTCTGTTGATCAAATATTCATGTTACATTAGGTTTATGTTCTTTATTTTTAATGTACTGCAACACTTTAGACATCAGTTCTTGTTTGGGTCCTCTTACACAACCACCACTGTCTCTCGTTCTCTTTATAGTGCATTGGTTTAGCATTAGCCATTGGATTTGGGATCCGCAGAGCTGCAGGGAATGGAAACGTTTAATGGAGCACTATATTTTAAAGCTTCCTTGTTCCGCAATCAATGTTTTCCTAATTGAGCCGTTCTGTGGTTACAGCTGCCCGTTCCTGGTGAAGCACCTCACCAGCTGCATCCCGGCCGTCGGAGGGGTCCTTTTTGTGTTTGTGGTCATCTCTCTCTTCCAGACCAGCTTCACGGATCCGGGGATTCTGCCCCGGGCAACACCAGAGGAGGCCGCAGACATTGAGAAACAGATTGGTGAGGGAGCACGCATCTCCACGTGTCCATGGTTATCTTCAGAAAGGATAGAGTATAGGCTGTATATGGCGTACTAGATTTAGTTTAATCTAGTTTGTGAAACTTAATGTGTGCACAATGCCATTTTTTAGTTGCCCCCAAATATGATCATCTTTGTGTGAGGGACACCTATTCTAAAATGTATAAGGCAGCTATATATTTTCATGTCTAAATACCCAATTTATATTGTACTGTGCTGTTATAAATGTGTAAAATAAATGTGAAATTTTTTTTAGTTAAGTTTTTTAGTATTTAGTTTATTTTGTTTACAAATTTAAATGTATTAGTATTATTTTAATCAATTTATTTATTTTTCAAATTTTTTTTTTTTTTTTTCTAAACTTTTCCACGGACCCACTAGCACTCCCTTGCGACCCCCTGAGGGTCCATGCACTCCAATTTGAAAACCCCTGCACTATGCAATGATAAATTTGTAAAAAAAAAAAAAAATGTCTGCAACACTCATATTAATTCACCGTGTAATTCAGCGAGTGTTATTCAGTTATCTATTTAATTATTTTGCATTTATTATCCAAGTTTGTCTAAAATATCTTTTTACAGTTGATTATATAATGAGTTAAGAAAGAGATGTCTGATGTTGTTTCTGGTTCATTCATCATTGTGGAAATGTGAGGGCATGTCTAGGGCATTGCATTATGGGATAGAGTGCATATATACATATACAGTGCTTAGCATAAGTGAACACACCCATGCTAAAGTTGACTAAAAAGAGGAATAAAAAAACGATCATATCTCAATGCAAATCAAACCAGCTATTAGGATAATTGAAATAAAACCATGCCAATCTCTAGGTACGGTGAAGGGTATGTGTTGATGTGGGGCTATTTTAATTCCAAAGGTCAAGGGAACTTTATCAGGATGCATAGTATCCTGGATCCATGAAATAACTGGCCTTTAAAAATAAAAATCTGCTTGCCTCTATGGGAATTTAACATAGGGGTGTCCTGACTTATGCACCCTTTATTTTAAGGAAGAACATGTATGTATTTATTTATTTATGATACATTCATTCACAAAGAAAATTGGTGTCCTTAACGGTTGGAGTTTTCCTCATTTTTTAAATTAAGGCATTAAGATCAATATCCAAAAGATGATTTTTTTTTTAAATTCCTCTTTTTAGTCAACTTTAGCATGGGCGTGTTCACTTATGCTAAGCACTGTATGTGTATATATATATTAGCGCAGGATACATACTATGTAGTAGAGCTGCAAGATTGTGGATACATTGAGAATCATGTTTTTGTTTTTTCATTTTTAAATTGAGACCACGATTCTGAATAGACAACTAAACAAAATAAGATGTAGTTTACTAGAGGTTCTGGCACAATGTTAATTGCTGCAGTCCAGTAAAAAAATATTTAATTAGAATTATTTTAAAATAATTGGTTTAAATGAATGATTCAATGACTCACTCATAAGGGTCGCGAATCAGTATATTGTGTACACGAGCAACACTCGGGTACTGAAGGACACTGCCTCACTACACATTGTGATATTGATGACTATTTCTGGCAACTTCCTCATTGTGCAACAACACTACTTGTATTTATGAACAACAGCAGAACTGATATCTTTCTGAAATGTTATTTGAAGTACATTATGATAAATACTTTGCTTCCTGGTTTTTACGCTGCATTGTGGGACTTTTTAGGTAGCGATCGTTTCAGTGTACTGGAAGGATTTTGCGATTGAGACAGCCCTTAAAATGGCCGACTCCATCATCAGTGCCCTGACTATTGATCTAGGGAGCTGAATGAGATGCACCTCTTGTTTCATAACTGGATGAATCACCATTTTTTAACGAATCCCCTGAATGATTCAATGACATATGCATTTTATTAAGTACCGCCACCTACTGGTGCAACGATGTCATTGATACTATCTTTATTTGAAGTGTCATGTTACTTTTCAAAAGGTAATTTACTTTTTATCGCTACTGTAGACATCAGTGTTTATATCCAAACTATACACTTTTATCAGAGTACTTCTATGATCATTTGAATTATTGTAACAGAAATTATAGTGTTTAGTTAAAAATACTGTTTGTCAAGTGGTTTCATAACACGACAACTGCTCTCTCTGGGTCGACGGCAGCGCAAACGCAGTTAATCGCTAATAGTAAGTAAGAGACGGGTCATAATGTTATTCAAAAATTTCAACTATAAAACTGGAATAAAACTATTGATTTGAAAACATTCTTATGAACAAAATAAAATAAGTAAATGAAAACTATCAACAGAAATGGAGTTATTGTTAGTTATCTGACCCGTGTCTGTGATCGCATTTACCGTTGGTGGTTTGGCAAATTTTTGCGGACAAAATTACATTACATATTAATTTACCGTATATACAATTACTTTTATTATTTATTAATTAAATTATAGCTTTAAAATTAGGTAATCGTGTTTCCAAATTTTATATTTATTTTATTTGTCATGTACGATAGCTTCTGACAATTAAAACAAACATCAGACTCATGTATTTATGACCTCAAATTACTGCTTTATTTGTTCAGAAACAGAAGCTTAAGATAACTTAAAATGTTATTTGTGTAGTTTAGCCTACTCATATTTTTAGCATAGTAGGGTACAGCAAAACTACAGCACTTTCAGTATAGGCTATTTTATGGAGCTGCCAACACAGGGAGCTCATACCTTCAGTGGACAAACACTCCATTTATATATATAAAACTATATATTATTCAATTGTACATACAAAAAAAAAGTATTCACTAGTTTCGTGCTGGAACCCCCCCCCCCCCCCCCCATTTTATTTGTCACCTGTTTCTGAATAAGTGGTCTACACCATTTAGATCAACCAAAATTTAGAAACATGTGCAGTTGTTTTTGCTATTTTTTTCTGTTGATTGAAATAAAAAAAATGCTTAATATTTTTAGGCAAGGCAAGTTTATTTATATAGCACATTTCATACACAATGGTAATTCAAAGTGCTTTACATAGAAGAAATTAAAGTAATCAAAACAAATAATAATTAAAACAGTTTAGAATAAAAAATAAAATAGAGTACAGTAAAAACAGTTTTAATGAGATGTCTTTGTCTGCCACCGCAGTTAATTTTTTTTGGTCTGCAAAACAAAGAATTAAACAGTTTAACCAACACCCGAGCACCATACGCAAAAAACAAATGTGCATGTACACTCTTAACACTATAATATCGAACTATGATCAATATCAAAGTGGCGTAGTTTGATAATTTGACCGCTGATTAAGTGGTGCTTCATGCATTATTAATTAGACAATGACAATTGTCAAAGACAATAAGACCTTCTTTGCCCACAAAATTTTGTAGAAGTTTTGCAAATGTGATGTGCCTTAAAACATTTGGAAAATCAAATCTATAAAACCCTTGTTTGAGAAGATTAGAGGGCATTCTGCCCTAATTACAGAGGATGACACTGACATGATGACTGTCACATGACAGGATGATTGTCATCTGGAACACACACTCCTGCAGGCCTTGAAATAACTTCACGCGCTCAGTAGTAGCACACTCATGTGTGATTGTTGCAATGAAATGTGACCTTATTCATCCATGCAGATTCATCTATTATTGTCCTCCAAACAGATAACCTGTAAATAAGAGAACTGAAACAGTCTCTAGATATTAGTTTTATTAATAATAATAAATAATTTCTGCTCTATTCAAGCTGTTCAGGTTGAACTGTTTGTGAGGAACTGAGAAATAGAACATTGCATGATGGATCACTTTCTGACCTGTAACAGCGTTTTGTTTTTTCCCCAAGTCAAATTTATAGCCTGTATTTCTTCTCCCTTCTGACCTTAACTGGAAAAAAGGCTTAGTTTGTTGGAGTAATAATAAATGTTAGTTTTTTTTTACATCTTTGAACCATTTATTTCTGACCTGTAAATTTACCATTTGCAAAATGTCATTTCATGTTCAACAGTAATGCTGTGCTGAATTTAAGGTCGAATTGACATCCAAGTGGCAGAAATTAAGTCAAGTTTGAGGTTCAAATACTGTATATTAGTGGTTCTCAACGGGGGCGGTACCGCCCCCCAGGGGGCGTTCAGAGAACAACGGGGGGCGTTAGACGCAAGAGTCTTGAAAGGGGGGCGTTCAGGTGTTAATGGGGGGCGTTCACGAGTAAGGGAAATTTGTGTTCATTTACTGTGATTCATTTTAAGCATTTAGTAATTTATTTGTAATAAACACTTTAAGTGGGCTATTAAAAAAGTGTTAGGACCATACTGCCGTGCAAAGGCAAAAGACCGTAACTTCGTTTTTGGTCGAAAATGAGTTATTGATATTTTTGGCACATTCAAGACCTCCTTTATAATGTGGATAAGTATCTTGAGTCAATTCCGTTGTTTTTTTCGAGAAAATAATGGTTTGTCTTAACCGTAACTTCCAAAAGCCCATGAGAAACCAAGGCAGAACACCGTAACACCAGTTACGGCTCTTTGGCTTAGTTTTGGAACGCTCATATTGAGTTACGGCACTCTGTCTTTGTTTAGCCGCGCGTCAATATGAAGTTACGGTGCTGGCGTTCTATCAAATAATGCTATCAGATTATACGGTGTTCTGCCTTTGTTTTACTCTCCATTAAAATTTAAATTACGATGTAGCCTGTGTACTTTGTACAGCTACCATCCGTCCGTGTAACTTATGATGTCCTCAGAGCTTTGTCCTGCACTAATGCGGTGAGAACATTTAGTAGGCTATGCTCTTAACCTGCTCCATCGACAAACGTGCGATATCGATCGCGACGGATATATGCAGAGTTGAGAGAAAAATGTTACACATGCCGAAGCAGGTCAATACAACAAAGAACTAAAGCCCCGCCTCACCCAGTTCGGGTACCGGACCTAGTTGAAACCATCATGCATCTAGCTGGCAGACTGCCAAAACTTCGCCGGCGCCTTCAGCTCCGCCCTGAACACGGTCGAGCCGACGCGGG